GTCTTTGATCCTCAGTAGCGGTGGGTCGTCAGGCATTGTTGTCCTGTTACCAACGACGACGACAACCATGGTGATGATGGCCCTTTTTCAATGCTTCAAAGTGGTTGAGTCAGCTATTTTTGGAGTGACAGCTCAAATCCAAAGTGGTCGAATCAGCTCTCCTTTGAGTGACAGATCAAACCCAAGGTGGTTGAGTCAGTTCTCCTTGCGGTGGCAGCTTCTGGCTCTGGGATCTCAGCAGGAACCTCCTTTGTTCTTATCTTTCTGGCCTTGCCAGCAGATAAGAGGAAGCAGGGAGGCACCAACTAGCATCTTGCCTCCGCAAGATACAATGGTATCATCCCCCAGCCTTCCATTCTTAGCTGGAGCGGTTTGGCCACAGGCCAGATCTTCCGCCAGTGAACACTGCTGAGCGCTCTCTTCCGCTCTTCTATAGAGCAAGCAGCTCTGGGGGAAGGGGCTTGCAAATGTTCCCAAAGCGATATCGATTGTCACACAGTTAGCACCCATCAGTTGCCTCCTTGACAAGTCACTCCGAGTCTTATCACGAGAAAAACCTCAGGAAGCAAGCTTTGAGCCAAAAAAAAACTAAGAAGGATTCTCACAGTGCTCCAAATGGTCACATAGTCTGATTTTCTTGTGGGATGAAGTCAGAGTGACTGGCATTTCCCCATACCAACTTTCTTGTTCTTTTTCAAAATGGGCATGATATCTGTCTTTCTCCAGTTGGTAGCCTCACCTTATCTTCACCATCATTGAAAAAAAATTGAGAGCAGTGAAACCAGATGTCTCAGCACAATCATGTGCAGATCTGAATGTCCAACAGATCTGTATGGACTGATTTAACACAAATAGTCCGAGACTCAATACTCACCTACTGATAGTCGTTCTCCTCCCTGAACATTTTTGTTCTAAGCAGAAAAACTGTGGAGAAGTTAATGAAGACGGTATTTATTTAATATTTCAATTTTCTTTTAGAAACCTATTTGCAAGAAGACAAGAGCGTGAGGCTCTTCAGTCACACAAAAATTTGTTACAGACTGCAAAATACAAACAAGAAATCTGATTTTTGTGCAGAAAAATATTACACATACACAATATATGTGCACATATACTCCTACTCCACACACATACTAGCATCTGTGCAAGGAATTGATACTATGATACTTTTTTGAGAATTTTTCATAACAGGGTCTCAACAAACTCCACAAATATATCTGTATTATATTTTCAGCACTTATCATAAAGTGGACATGCGTACATCCATCTTTTTCTTACTAAAACTTTTTTTTTTTCTTATATTCGATCTGATGTGCGTATTTTGATTTATAGAAATGGCTTTGAAAAAAAAACTTGAGTTATATGGGAGATATTTTGAAAACAAAACATGTCCAGATTTTTATTTAAATTTATGAAGTTATAAGACCTCATTTAAATAAATGCATACACATCAACAAGAGCAACAAAAAACATCATAGTAAATCACATAAAGAATTACAGTATGCATGTGATAGTAGCCCACAGGTTGATTGTTATGTGCACACTTATTTCATATGCATATACCTAACCTTAAGAATAAAAGCATTCTTTGTTAAACAAAACTTAATGTATATTAGACCATTTACACTCACATGCACAGAAAGTTGAAAAGCTTGTAGACTGTTATGCATTTAGGGAGAAATGTTGCTAATGGTTGGCAATAAGAAAGCCAGAGGGCTCACTTGTAAATCATGCTGAACTCCAGAGACAACACTTTGATTCCTAGAGCTATCAGTCAAACTGAGAATCACAGCCATGGCAATTAGCAGCATGTTTCCAAAGCTCATCACAGAATGCAGGCTCATAGCTTCTTAGGGTATTTGCCTCCCTGAAATCATGCAGTAGTGAAGGGAGAAAGTATTCAACATGATCAACAGATTGACAATCAACAAGAACCTACTAAAGGGAATTTCAAACAGGGTTGCAGTCTCATTATAGGATCTTGGCAAGTCACTCAATCCAATTTTCCTATCAAGGGTTAGGGAAGGATAAAGAAAAAATAGGAAAACTGTAGGGGGCTTATTGTGATTATGCTACTGCAGAAAAGTTGAATACTTTTCTTGTGTAGAAGAAGTGTGGAGCTGTATTTTTGTATACAAAAAATACAGCTGTGAGTAATGCACAGCAAAGGTTGGTGCATTACTCCAGCACTTTTGCACTAAATTCCGTACAAGAGTTCAAGGAATTCATTGGTTAAAAAAAAAAAAAAACAAAAAAAACCAAGGCATCACATTTGTCCAAGAAAAGTAAATTCAATAGCTGAACTAGGAGGAAAGCTGAGGGTGCTATCTGTAAGAAAAGTAACAATTTTGCTTACAAAGCAGATGGAAGTGTGAAGAAGAGGAAACCACTGGTAACTGTAGAGAGAAAAGGAAAAGGATAAATGGAAAAGGTGAAAGGAAACCAAATTCCCTGCTCTGAGGATGTCTTCGAAGTCTCAAACTAGAATTTAAACCAGAGCTAGGAGAAATCTTGAGTGCCACAATTCAGCAGGGAATTAAGAAAAAATCAAGCTTTGTAGGAACCTGAATCATTTTTACTGTGACAGCTGAGTCAAGGGGGAATACTCTTCAGAATATCTCCTGAACTTTTCAACTTCAGTAGGCCTGAGAAAGCCGATGCAAATGAATATATCTGATACACATTTATTTAGAGTTAAGTAATCTTTGTAGGGGAAAGAGAAAGTAAGAAATGTAAAAATAAAGGAAAATTCTCTGTAGCTATAACCTTAAAGACTGTAATCCCAAGCTATCACATACAGGATAACCTTCTATGTAATTGCCATGCAATAAGAATAAGTCAGAATTTCTTTGTTGCTTTCATATGAGCTGACGTATGGAGATTAATTAATTGCTAGCAGCATCAGAAAGTCTTCATGTAACTCCCAAACATATTAAAATTATTTTACTTCTGTGACAATCTGAAAATAGGCAGCTACATCACCAGTCAAAAGCATAAAAAAAATCACCTTTTCCAGAGTGTTCTACTACTGGAGGTAGAGTTTTGCTCATGTGGACCAAGGGAAAATTTAGAATTCCCAGACCTGTTATTAAACATTTCTAATTCTAACATTTCTCAAAACTTATTCTTAGTGAAAGGGAGAAAAAGGGAACTGTAGAAAATTTTCTATTTCTTCAAACTAAGTATTTCCCATGCAACTTTCACAGCTTGCTACAAGGAACAATGAATGACCCCAAATTATCTGCTAGCTCCACTTAGATCGTGCTAAGAAAGAGTGCTCAACCAGAGCAGTGGGCCAAAAAAATGCAGGTTCAGTGTTATATTTCCACATGTAAACACTCATTTGCATGGGACAAAATAATACAACTAAGACTCTAAAAAGTGACTTCAGGAAAATAAAATATCTTCCAAGACCATGTGATACGTTTCATTTAGAAAAACAGTGTTTATTATCAGGAGAATAAATAGATTAATATTTGCACTTCTAAAGTAAATACGAGCCACAGCTTTATGAGATATCAGTGCGGCCTTAGTAACAGGGAAAGAAATGGGTTTTTGACTAATAAGAGAGAAAAATGTTTACAGAATAAGAACTGACAGAGAAGATCAAGAGAAAAGAATGTATATGGTAAACATTCCAATGGGCAAACTGTGCAAAAAATACTCTTAACAAGAAAAGGAGTCAAATAACTTTGAAAGCGTGAAACTAAAATCACGATTCTACAGGCTGGAGGAAAAAAGGAGGGGGAAAAAAAACACGAAAACAAACAAACAAACAAAAAACAACTCTGAAAAAGAAGAAATGAAGCCAGATTTCCAGTAAAAATAACCCACAACTTATGGAAGAGAGCAATAAATCAGCTGATGGGAAATGTATTAAAATTAGCAATATTGTCAAGATAAAAGAAAAAATTAACACTTTCTGTATTCAGGAAGTTGTATGTATAATAATGAGGAAAGAAAGGGAGGAAGGGAGGGAGGGAGGGAGGGAGGAAGGGAGGAAGGGAGGAAGGGAGGAAGGGAGGAAGGGAGGAAGGGAGGAAGGGATTTACCCATACCACGGAGTTAAGCTTTTCCCTTCAAATCCCTTTGCTATCCAGAAGATAAAAATTCTTAGAGGCTGACAAAAAAAGTTTTCAGATTTTGAAACAAGAGTTTATGACTGATATTGAAAACAATTTGTTAAAAACCAGCTGCAAGTTCATGTATTGCACAAGTCTTCTCATTATTTGCAATCATGTAAAATACAGGACGATTTCAGTATGGAGTAATGAGTATCTTATCATTTCCATGAGTATTATAATGATTTCAAAATTATTATTGCTTATGTGCCATTTACAAAACAAACATTTTGTTAGCATTCCTGCCCTAAACAGACATTACTTCTCTCTGAAGGCTAATTTGACCACTGCAATAGCTCATGCTTTGTGGTCACCCAGGAGTTTTTGGCAATGATGTGTTAAGTACATTCAACAGTCAGTTCAGTATGTACTGCCTGTAAGGAAGTAACAAGGAGTGAGGAACTGTGACTCTGAGCCTATTTCTATCACGCATAGAAAACAGTCTCAAACA